TGGAAAGCATGCTGTACACTGCCCAAGCCTTCTTTGAGCTCTCTTGGGTTTGGTAATTCCTGTGGTTTCTTAGCCCTAGAAGCATCAAAAAGACAGGAACTGATTAATAAATCAGTGACAAATTCTGAAAAGCTGATCTTTGTGAACTCATCTCTCTTGCCTCCTACATTTTCCCAGGAGACTTTTCCAGGCATCAGCATGGCACACTCTCCCACTCAGCACCACATGAGCCAGACTGAATCCAGTTCTGGTGGTGTGGGTTTTTCTCCCACCCTGCCATCACCCATTCTTGCCAGTTCTCACTGGGATAATCCCTGCATGACTAGTTTTTTTTAAATCCATCCCCCTTCCCCTTCTCCTTTTGTATTTGAAGCAGGAAAGTAAAGGGTCTAGAAATTACTCTGGGGGTGTTTGCAGCAGTGCCTGTGAAAGCATGAAGAGTTGCTGAGGCTGTGTGCGCCTTGGTTTACTTGCTAACCTTTTCAGATGTCAGCTTGAAACCAGCTGAGAAGTAATCAATTCCCCCCTCCACCCAGTTTCTGTATAACGACAATACCACGCAGATGACAGGCGTGAAGCAAACCAGCCTTTGACAACACGAAGCACTTCAGAGCTAATTGCCAGTTTCAATCTGAAGTCGGCAAGTGGATAAGATAAAATTGTCACCCATCAACTTAATCTGTATCCGGGTGAGTTCAGGAGTCGGTTCTTAGCTGTGGCGATTTAAACCTTCCCTTATTAGGAAACGTGTTTTGTATGAACTTTTTGTTTCTTTCTGTAAATTAGAGCTGTTTTAATGAAAAAGTGGGGAGAGAAGGCTGTGCTAATTCGTAAGTGCCTCTCTTTGCCTAGTGCTTTTTGTCCTTGGATCTGAAAGCACTTGACAGTAGCAGCCAAATGTTGTTATCCCTGCCCACAGATAGTGAAACAAGAAGAAATGACTTTCCCGAGCCAGTGACTGAGTACTTGGGTCCCCTGAGTGCCAGACCTTGCTGCCTCTCCATTTTATTACTTGGATTCCAGGGCCAGACTAAGGAAGTGACCCATCTGGAGTAGGAGAAAGAAAAGAGACACGGGGCATGACTCAGTAATCAGTCAGCTGATTTCACACTGGTGTGAGCTCAATGTCACCAATAGAATTAGGGTTAGGGTACAAGCTTCTTTACAAGTTGAGTGCCGAGGGTCTGAAACAGGTTCCCCCCAGAGGTGGTGCAGTCATCTACCCTGGCGATCTTCAAAAAGCATCTTGATGCCCATCTTGCTGGGGTCATCTGATCCCAGCTATCTTTCCTGCCTAAGTGCAGGGAGGCTGGACCCGATGATCTTATAAGGTCCCCTCCAGCCCCTAACATCTATGAAACTACCACTGATTGGCATAACTGTGGAGGATGTTAGAGTAAGCACCTTTGATAAAATCTAAGCGAGTCTAGTTGAGCAGACCCAGGTAATTCTCCTTTAAGAGAATCACGCAGACTGAGTTGCACAAACAGTTCCCTGAAAAGCAAAAGCTGGATCCAAACTGAGAGAGCACAAACTGTTTCACTCTGCTTTGTTTGGATAAGATTCTGCATCTTTAGTTACGAGCCCTTTCACATCAGGCCTTTGGTCCTGAGATCACATCAGCCTTTTGTTCCTGGTTCAAGACATTTTGAGCTTAATTATTACAGAAATGATGATTAGTTTAAGCTCCCTCTGACTTTTCAGCATATAAGTTAAGGACCCTTAACATCTTTGAGGCACTCAGATTTACCTACTTTGGAATTTAGCCAGGCATAACTGTCCTGCCTAACTGAAAAGTGCCATATAGGGTCTGTAAAAACTGAGTGGACCTTTAAGTCTGTCTGAAAGATGGCGGCACAGTAGCAGCAGTGGTAGTTCTGTCTGTTTGCTTGTATTGCAGTGCATGGAGAACCCAACCAAGAACAGGTCTATGTTAAAAACATGCATCATAAGAAAACCCCTGCTCCAGAGAGGTAAGGGCATGTGTAGATGAAACAGGGGCCCTAAATTGAAGCGGTGGGTTTTTAAAAACACTGCTTCAATTTAGGGCCGATTAAACCCCTGTGATAGGCACACATCCACTTACCTGCCTCTCCAGCAGTGGGGAGGGGAGGGGAGGGAATGGCGAGCTGCAGTCCCTGGGCTCCAGGGATGAAAAGTGCCATATAGGGTCTGTAAAAACTGAGTGGACCTTTAAGTCTGTCTGAAAGATGGCGGCACAGTAGCAGCAGTGGTAGTTCTGTCTGTTTGCTTGTATTGCAGTGCATGGAGAACCCAACCAAGAACAGGTCTATGTTAAAAACATGCATCATAAGAAAACCCCTGCTCCAGAGAGGTAAGGGCATGTGTAGATGAAACAGGGGCCCTAAATTGAAGCGGTGGGTTTTTAAAAACACTGCTTCAATTTAGGGCCGATTAAACCCCTGTGATAGGCACACATCCACTTACCTGCCTCTCCAGCAGTGGGGAGGGGAGGGGAGGGAAGGGCGAGCTGCAGTCCCTGGGCTCCAGGGCGCGGAGGCGGGGGCTGTTGCTTCCCTCTGCGGCAGCAGTGCCCTCAACAGGCACCCAGCTCGGGTGGTCCCAGGGGGCACTGCAGCCCCAGCGGGAAGCACTGGGCCCCTGCACAGCCTTGGCAGGCAGGCAGGCTCCATGCGGGGAAAAAAAAAAATGATCAGGCTTGATGCTTTTCTTGGGCGGACCCTGCCTTCCCGGGCTGCTGCCAGGCTGCCTGCAGGGCTTTCTGCAGAGCTGCACAGAGCCCAGCACTTGGCTTCGCGTCTGTAGGGGCAGCAAACTAAAACTGCTCAGAGGAGTTTTAGTTTGCTGCGCCCCAAGACATTTAAGGTGCATTACACTGCTGAATTTCCTACAGCGGCTGAAATTAATGCCCAATACGCTGCCATGGTGTGCAAACACTGACACCTTTAAAGCGGTGCAAAAGCATTTAGTCCACTTTAAAGTGTCGTGCACACACCCCCCTCGTTTCATACAAACCGCTTTTCACAGATGAGCCTGTGAACTTCACTTCATCAGCCCCCTAGATACAGAAACTCATGGAATCAATATAGACATTGGATTTATGACACACTATGACATCTGACTCCCCAGGTACCTCTCTACTTTTACCTGCTATATCCCCCTTCTCCCTGCCCCCCACCCCCTCTCCCAGCTTGTCTCTCACCCTCTGATTCCTCAGTTTACATCTTCAATGACTGGCTTTCTTGCCTGTATGCCAGCCTCTGGCTTTACTATTCCTTCCATCCAGGAAGAGCACACACCAACCGCAGGTGCTTTCTCAGCATGAGGAAGGGTTTTTAAACCCAAAAGCTTGATAAGATATATTTCTCCAACTACTCAGTTGGTCCGATAAAAGATAACAGATTCACCCAAAGAACCTTGTCTAGCGATGTCCTTAGACCAACACAGGTACAACCTACAGCCCACCCCCCACTTAACACACACAAGTGTCAACAGTTAGAGGTGCAGTTTCACAAAAACCCCAGCACCTATCTCCTTGAAACTTGGCAGGCTTCGTGGCCTCAGGAGGGGCTACCATGCCTGCTGTTTTCATCCAAATCAGCTAAAAAATGACAGAGTTATCAGTATTTTAGTGATTCCCCATTATAGTCTATGGCCGAATCTCCAAATTGGTGTCAAAATTCTGAAACAGATTCGGCCAAATTGAATCAGGACAGTGATCCAAAACACTGAATTGAATCACTGTCCCTCCGAAACAGCTGAAGCCGAACAGAGCCATTTCGCACAGCCCGACCAAATAGGCCAAGCAGCTGGGGAACACCCTGGGCACTAAGGGCACTGCTTCCAAAGGTGCTGGGCAAGCATTTCTTAGGGTGATATCTTTTACTGAACCAACTGCATAATTGGGATAGAGTTGGACAATCTTTCAAATACAAGACATTCTGTATCAGGTCTGAGGAGTGAAAGCCAGGACAGCGTAGTCAGCTACTGGGCACATTCTGTCCTCATTGAACCCAGGAGGAGTTGGGGGTGCTCAGCAACTTTGAAAGCCAGATTACATGCATTTGCCTTGGTGCTCAGAGAGATGCAATACGTTATTGAAATGTGTTTGTTGTAGAGCAGGTGCCCTCAAAACTCCTGGCCATTAGCCCTCCAGCTCATCTTTTACTTTCTGTGTGTTTGTATGTGTGTGTAAGTGTGTGTGTGTGTGTGTGTGTGTGTGTGTGTGAGAGAGAGAGAGAAATACAATATTTTGTCACTTCAGTGAAACAATAAGATACCTTTTTAAGGCAGAATTGCTGCTCCCAGTACCTTGCCCAGGCCAGGGAACAGAAGCCCAGCCCTGACAGCATCAGCTCCTTGAGGGAACAGTAGAACGTAGCGCAGGCTCCTGTGCTGGGTTTCCATACCTGTTCTCACCCCCAACATCCTGAGTCATGTTGCACACATGAAGTGCTTCATTTTTTGTAAGTGTCAGCTATCAAGGGCAACTTTTGGGTTCAGATTTCAAACCTTTGAATGTTTGAATCCATTCCCTTAACCCCATTCCCACTTGCAAAAAAAAACCAGATTCAAATTTGGATTTCAAACTTGCATCTTTTTGGAGAAGTAGGGATCTGTAGAAATGCAACATTCTTAACTTGAGTTTGGAAGCCTAGTACTTTTGTTTTCCTGGCTTGTCTGTGCAGAATAACTTCATCAACTTCATTTCCAGTGGATTCAGCCTTGATACATCATCAAACATACTTGGATGCAGTCCCCTTGCTCTGGTACTTGCATCAGAGCCAAAGAGCTGCAAATGGGGATTTTAGACCCCTGTTCTTTGTGGTTACAATAGCAAATCAGCTTTTCCAACCATCTGTAGTAGTAGGATGGTGAGAGGGCAATCAGAACTGGACTCTGCTGAGGGTTACTCTCAGATTCATTACCTTACTCTCTTTGTTTTTCCATTTATGTGTCATTGCTGTTGTATTGTAACCCTGCTGCCCCCTAGCCTGACCCCTGTGTTTCCATTGCAGATCATAGGTCTGGTGATTCTGTGCATTGGCATATATGCAGAAGTGGAGCGGCAGAAGCACAAAACCTTGGAAGGGATCTTCCTGGCTCCAGCTGTGATCCTGCTTCTCCTGGGCATCACTATGTTTGTCGTTTCCTTCATCGGAACAGTTGGATCCCTCAGAGACAACCGGACACTGCTGAAGATGGTAAGGCCTTCCTCCCTGTTTCATCCTACATGGTGTAGCCTGAGTCCTGTGTCTTACAGGTGTGGGTCAGTCAGCATCCCAGGATCTATCCAAACCAGAAACTGAATGAGTTTCCTTCCATATCACTTGCAGCTTTTCATATATTAGCACAGAGTCGTCTTGCGAGAAAGTGAACAAGGGAAAGAAAGGGTGGCCTGGTCTGTAGCATTTCCTCCATACCAACATCTTTTAGGGAACCTGTTTGACATGGAAAGACTCTAGTAAGTGAAGTGTTATGATTGCATGTTTATGGGTGGCACTGAAGTGATGACCTGCTGTTGCTGAATAGGTAACGTTTGCCTTCATGACCGTTGATCTAAATACATTGAATGCAGTTTTCCTTTTGCTGCCAGCTGTTAGTATGCAGCTGAATCCATTTTCTGCGAAAATATATCCAGGTCGCTGTGTAAACCCTGATCCACAGTGGCTTTGAGCTGATCCACAGTATGCTTGATGTGTAAACCCTGAGCCACAGTATTCTTGAAGAACAGGGTGTAAAACTGAGCCCTCATGCTGCATCAGAGGTGTTTATGGACCATTTCTTCCCCAGTATATGGTGGGCTGGGTAGAAGTGGGAGCTGAACACCTGAGAAAATGTGTGACTCCTGCTCATTTCGGTTCACCTTGCTGACAAGCAGCAATTCAAGGAAGCAAACATTTGTGTTAGTCAGTGCTGGGTTTTAATTAAAGGAAACTTTCAGCAGTAACAAATGGAGAGGCCAAGGGTGGCCAAACATATTCCTCCCCACTTGCCTTTTCCCTTGGTCCAAATGCTAAGCTAGCCTCGAGGTTTGTTTGTCCCATCCTCCTCCTCCTCTGTATTTGCCATCCTCTGTTCCAGCCACACCTTCACATGGCTTCCTCCCACCTCTGCCCCATAAGTTTAAGGCAAGCCATTGGTGTCCCCCATGGTGGAATATGATGCTCTTGGGCATTGCAGTCCTACATGATGTGTTTGCATGGAAGGACTCTGATATGTGCAGATCAGAAGAGAAGCCAGTGTGGCAGCAGCAGCCTGCCTGGTATATTTTAATTTCAGAACTGGTGCCTAAGCCTTTTCTCATTATCTGTGGTTGAATGCCTGACAGTATCTGCAGGATGTGCTGTGGGGTTCCTTCTGGGTTCAAACACTAAGTTATTTTAGGGATGTAATTCCAGCTCTGGCTTAGCAAACTCTCTGCTGTTAAGTTTATTTCAGCTCTGACAGCTCAAAGAGCAACTAGCTTCACTTCCTTTTGCAGAGCAGTTTTAATGGCAGGGAAATTTTCCCTTCTTAGTAAAAACTCCAAGAGATATAAGACACAGGGGACCAAGCACCGGGCTTAGTTCTTAACTTCTTCCCAAAGGGTGAGTTGGAGCTTTGTAGTGCTGCTGTTGTTGGACAGTTGTGGCTCGCTGCAGTTTATTGTGTGCCTTTACTGTTGGGGTGAAATGTGCCCAGGATGGTAGTCCCTTCTGAGGCCGTGAAGCCTGCCAAGTTTCAAGGAGATAGGTGCAGGGGTTTCTGTGAAACTGCACCTCAAACTGTTCAAAGCAAAACTCATGACACTTGTGTGTGTTAAGTAGGGTGTGTAGGTTGTAGCCGTGTTGGTCTAAGGACCTCAGCAAACAAGGTTCTTCGGGTCAATCTGATATCTTTTATTAAACTGAGTATTTGGAGAAGTATATCTCAGTAAGCTTTCGGGTTTAAAAACCCTTCCTCATGCTGAGGAAACATCTGCAGCTAGTGTGTGCTCTTCCTGGACGGAAGAAATAGTAAAGAAATTTGGGCTGTCTGGCTCTGCTCACAGGAACAGGCCTTAAAAGAGGTTAGAGGAGAGGTAGGCGACCCCCAGGATACATGCCAGAGCATAGCATGCAAAGGCACTTTGCTTGGCATGTGCACTTCGGGGCGGACGGCAGGGAAGGAGACAGGGCTGATCGAGCCCCTTGCAGCTCTCCTTGCAGCTCTCCTGCCATCTGCCCCTGGCATGCCAACATCTCACAAGTCCAAGTTGTAGGTATTTTTGGCGCTCTGCCCAAAACCGTTGCCAGCCTCTGTGTTAGAGGTTGTGGGGAGTTGTACTTTATGAGCTGGGAACTGATTAGATAAGAGCCAGTGTTGTCAAAGCACCTAGCCCATAGCTGGGAACTGCCCTAGCTGATGCTGTGCCCTGGGAAGTTCCCAGCTCTTTAAAATCACGTGTGGCATTTGTGTTGTTTGTTTTGTAGCCATGCAGACATGCAAGGAGGCCCTTCATCAGGCTGTCAATCAGAACTGAGCCAGGGACCTCAGGGTGTCAAAGCACGAGCCTCAACGGTCTACAATAAAGAATGGGGGCCATTGGCTTGTTGGGAGTAGTAGTCCCACCCACCCAAATGCATAGACTCCCTGCTAGAGAGGGGGAAGAGGCACACAGGGTTAGTATGGGCAGCACTCACAAGGGCTCTGCTAATCATTCCTGATTTTCAGAGACCTTCAGCAGTTCAGATTCCTCCTGCAGGTCACCACTTGTAACGATGAGCCTAGACAGCTTGTTAGAGAGGGCTGAACCTAGGACTTCTGGATCAGGTTGATCCTAAGCTGAACCTAGGCTGCTTGTGTGAGATACAGAATGGCCTCACCGCCAACTTCTGTCATTATACCCCTTCCCCAGCCAGGACTGTGTCTGTTGAAGCCAGTCCTCAGGCAAGGGTGATGGTAGTCACCTCTTGCTATTTGCTGGGAGTTTCACTAGTAAACCCTATGCTGCCGAGGGGTCTTTCAGGAATCTGCTCAAATACTGCAGAAATGGGAGCAAGGTAGATAGCCATCTGCCTGTAGCCTTCAGTGGTGCTACAGGTAAAAACCCAGCCCATCGATATTTCAAATTAATATGTGCCGGCTGTTTTGAATTCAGCCTGGGATGTTGCGAATGCACAGATCAAGCTTTCTTTGTTCCACTTTGCTGGGTATGACGTCAGTCTGTGGCTTCGCAGCAGCTCAGTTTACACATCACTGACTGTTCAACCTCATTCAGTTCTCTCTCAGTAAGTAACTCACTTTCAGATGAATGACCTGGGATGCTCTGTAGAGCAATCTTGCTACAGCACACGTTTATGGAATATTAATGGTCTGGATGGAGAAGTTAATGCCATTCCTCAGTCTTTATCGGCTGCCAGTCTTGTTTGATTTTTTTTTTTAATTAAACACTCCTAATAACTTATTCACAGAGGTGTTTTGATGGCTTGTTGCTTTTAAAAATTGCACAGTCCTTGCTTCTTGAATGAACATAGATATTTGCTTAAGTAAGAGAACCAGTATTGTCTTTGCTTCCATAGCAATAATTGCCTACGATATATATAGTTAGCATAATATTCCAGTAGCTGGTTTCTTCCTAGCATACTTTGCAGGCATTATGCAAATACTGTTATATCATCTGTAACATGACTGTTTGGTCATGTTACAAGTGAATGGGTAATCTCAAGGAACTCTAATGAATGTGCAAGCAGGAAGAACAGGTATTTCTAATATTACCCTTTATAGATATGTTATTCACATACTGCAGTGAATGATGAAAATTGCCATGAGGATCTTCATTTCACTGCATTTACTCAGGAAATGCCATATGTGTATTTCAGAGCTCACAGTATTTTGCTAAACTGTTTTATGAAAGGAGCTAAAGCTGAAGGAATATCCAAATTAATTGCTTTATTGCACAGAGGCATGCTTAAGGCCATATTTACAAACTAGTATACTATTTTAGTTGCTTTGTGTTGATTTTAGTGAAAAGGGCATTTTGCAAATATTTTTAGCATATTTTGCTTTAAATTTAATAACATAATAGTGCCTAGACATTTACAGTCACGTAGCTTCAGCAGTGGAATTGCTTCATGCCGCTCACGTCCGTTGGGCACTCCTGCCTGCAACAGGGTAAGACCCGCATTGACTGACCCCTAGTAGTCATAAATCAGGTGAATCCTTCAACCAGCAGGTTTTATTTCCTTCCTTGATTTTTTTTCCTGGATATTTTGCTTGCCCGTGCAGATGCTGCGTCCCTTTGCATCTTGGTTTCCTCAGCAGTCTGTGACAGAGATGTCAACTGGTAGAATAAGCACGTTGTCTTCCACTTGTCACCTTTAAATGTAACTTTGAATTGCAACATGCATTTTATTTTCTTCCATGCTGCTACCACGTTTATCATTCCGTTGTCATTTTTAAGAAATATACTGTGCCGCCTTCTCCCTGTCTTTAATTTTTTCCAAGAGGAATCATTTTGAGTCCTAAACTTCCAAGAAGATTCATCAAACATCTTGTATTATTATTCTTTAGGCTGCTAAGTGCTGTTTATGGCTGACACTGTGTTTCCACTGTTCTCATCCAAGTTAGGAAGTGAAATAAAAATGACACATTACATAATGGTAATTTCAGATTTATAGCAATTTTGAGGGCAGCAGATGCAAAATCTCATAAATTTCATGTAGCAAGCTGTAGACTAGATCAGTTTTGCAGTTAACGATAGCCAAAAGAAAAAAAAAATCTAAAAATATGTTACTGTGGTTATCAAGCGCTATATGCCTGATAGAGAGAAGAGTGATAGAAAAGTATTTTGTGAAGTTTCTGAAGTTAGCACAATAAAACAACCAGCACTGCTAATGCTTTTTGTATCATGCTGCTATCCTCAGCTCCTAAAACAAATGTGCTGGCAGGGGTTGTTCAGCTGGGAGACTTCCTGTTAATTAAGGCCTTTAGCACAAGTGCTTTCAAACCTACTGTGTGAAGGATCAAAAATAAACCCAGGCTTTTATAAATTCTGCATGTAATCTGTCCACCCCATGGAAAAGTCTAACAGGATTCATTATGAACATGAGATTTTTCCGTTTACTCCTAGAGGAAAGTTTTAGAGACTGTCAAGATGACCGTGGTGCTCTGGGCCTGGATTAATATTTAGGCCATGACACTGTGCTGGGGCAACTTCACATGAGAGAAAATAACTGG